TTTTTTTGGGTTTTTCTCCGGTACCGGGAACCGAACTCACGACCTTGAGCTTGCCAGGCAGGCGCTTTTGCCGCTGAGCTAAATCCCCAGCCCCCTATGTGACATCTTTTTATGTCCCTTCCATTCCCTTCTCTTCCCTCCTCCTCCCTCTATCTCTTGATCTCCTTTCTTTTTGCAAAAGATCTATCTCTGTTTCTTATTATTCAGCTTTGGTTTTGTTCTGAATAGAATGCACGCTGGGTAAGAAGCTGTTGGGTTGTCTGGAGCTTGACTTTGTGTTGCGTGCAGAGCAGCTCCTAGGTGCAAGGAGAGACACCAGGATGTGGAGGAACTGAGGCCAACTGGGCCTCAAATGTCCCAAATAAGGATTTCTTATGTGGTTGTTAACTCTTGGGATCCAAGTCGTTTATTCCCTTTGGACAGATAGTTTTACATTATTGATCTTTTTGAGCTTTTCTGCTTTCTTTCGGGGAAGTCATCCTTGCACTAGTTGGTTAACAAGCTAATAACAGGCTCCATACCATGCAGCCTGCACGTGGAGGTTGGCGGAGACCAGCTGATGGAGGATGGGTTGGCTGGGAAGGAATATCACTTCTCTTCAGCTCTCTGCTGGCCTGGCCATGCTCTCACAGCTGTGGCACAGAAACACGAGGACAAACCCAGTCACACAACCACTTTCCAAGCATCCCTGTGTCACATCTGATCACTTCCCACTGTCTAAAGCAAGTCACATGGCCAAGCCCAGAGTCAAGGGATAACAACTTCACCCTGTGTCCAGGGAGAGGCAGCAAAGGCTGGACTGAGAGGAGGGCGGAAAACTTGTGGTTTTATGCCCTCTACCACAACCACCACCATATTAGCGTTGATATAGCACTTATGTTTATATAAGATCTTAAATAGAGTTTTTTGGTTTTGGTAATGCTAGAAATTGAACCCAGGGCCTTTTGAATGGTAGTACAAGCACTCTATCCCTGAGATACATTCCCAGCCAATTTAAGATCTTAAGTGTCTTGCTTTCTCCTGTATTTTTCACTTGACCCTCAAAATAATTATATGAGAACATTATTTTTATTTTCCACATTTTATAAATGAAGAAACAGGATCACCAAGAATTAAGAAGCATTATGTACAAGTACCAACTCCCCACTATGAATGTAATTATTATGTACCACAAACGTGTACTATTAAAATAAATAACTAAAAATAAGATGAGAAAAGAGAGAGAAAGGTAAAGTCCCTTGCCCAAGATCGCACAGTTAGCTCACCATAGAGGAGGGGCTTTCTAATAACACTCATAAAAAGAGGAAACTGATGGACCTGTTCTCGCTTTGCTCATGGTTGGTCGCCTTTTCTCCCCCTCCCCTTTCACAGGGTAGAGATGGAAAACACCGGAAAAACCAGCTGACAAAGAAACACGAGGTAAAGTGATAGGGAAAAGGCATAGAATAGGAGATTGTCTGACTTCTTTGCTTTCTAGGGACTGTCATTGTACTCCTGCCCGGAGAAAAATACAGGAAGTTCAGGAAAAAGCAATTGCAACATCATTACAACTATCAAAAGTCCAGGCACACAAAGCAGCAGCTGCAGCAACAGCCAAAGGAGACAAGATCAGCTTTGTAGACAAATTGGCTGTGGTAATTGTTGCGAAACATTTAGAGCATGTGTTCCCAGTGTATGTAAATACATTCATAAAGAAGTAAGGAGTGGCTATCTAAGTAAACACACTTATATTTGCATTCTTAAGTCAAAATTTTAACACATAAATATTTTAATAATTTGACCAGGGTCTTTCATAGGATAATGTCATTAACCACGCTTCATTACTTTTCAAAATTTTTATTTAATTTTTAAGGGCATATTAGCTGGAAAAGCTACCGAACAAAGAACAACAAGCACAATAAACACATAGGGAAAGGCTCACCGCTAATGACATTAGGTGAAAACTATATTTCAAATATTCTTTTTAAAAGGAAACTCCCAGGTTTTTCTTTAGCCAGTACTAACAGAATTCACATTTGAGCCAGTCAACACAGCAAATAAATATTTAACATTTCTTGGAATAACATTGTATTGATAACAGAGACTATGTAATTCTACCCACTATTGTGACAGAGCCCAAATTAACTAGGTTAAGTACAAAGAATGCATTGGGAATACTCTCAAATCAAGACCAGAATATTAATTAAATGAGTTTTAAGAGATTCAGAACTAAAGGCGAAAATATTTTGACATGGATGAAACAGTGCTTAAGCAATTATTGACCTAATCAAAATCTTAAAATCACCACCAAAACACATAACTATAGAAGTTACATATAGATTGGCATTAGTACATAAAACAAGATTCCATATAAATGACTTCAGCCTTTTTAAAAATGAAGTTGCAGGCTGACACTATAGACATTATGTCCTATATTTAATGTGTAAATGGTCTCAGATAGCTTTTTTCAAATGCATACAGGTTAAGTTATTCACTGTTAATGCTTTGATGAAAAGGCTTTATGTGCAGCAGATCAAATAGTCCTTTAGTACTGGTGGTTGGTGAGAGAAATATCACTCATTCAGCAAGTGTGAAAAACCTAGGGCCACCCCCTCAAGCCATACATGGATTAAAATGCTGAATCCTATTGCTGTACCTGCTCCCTAAATGTGTTCTGCATCAGCCCTCTCCTGTCCGTTGCTAACACCCTGACAGCTATGCCTGCCCGTTCTGGCCCTGCTCTGTGAGAGTAGAACAAGCATCTCTCCCAACCTGTTTCTCCAAGGTTCCTGTGCTGGTTTTCTACCGCAATTATATCACTCACCATCATCTACTAGGTACTCTATTAGGATGTGTGTTCTTGTCTTATTGTCTAGATAAAAAGTCCGTGAAAGATGGAAATTAGTTCATGTGCATCCTAGAAAGACTTTATGTCTAATAGGAGTTCAAAAATTGTTTGTATTTAGTAACAATAAATTGCATGACTCAAATTCACTTCGTAAGACACATCAGCACCAAATTTGTTGCTCAATAGCGCCCACGAATTGCCTGCCTAACACCTGCCAGCCATTGCACACATATGATTTCTAATCTTTATAATTACCTTGGAGAATTGCAGATGAGGAAGTCATGTTTCATAGGGGTGACTTTCCCAAAACTGTATGACCCTAGTGCCCCAACCTGGGGGAGGAAGTCAGATTTGCCTGGTTCCTAAAACCACCGGACCACACCATCCTCATCTGTGTTTGAAAAAGAAGCTTTTGGTTTGTTGCTGAGAGCATGGTTATTCGTGTTTTATAGCTCCCTTCAGCACCAGCTGTCACTCAGGAGAACCTGGTGGATGAAAAGTGTCTACTGAACAAATTCACACATCGCTCCTGCAGCAAAGTCTTCTGCCAGCCCTGGGAGAGGTGTGTGGATGGGACCTGTACCTGCAAACTCCCCTATCAGTGCCCCAAGAATGGCACCCCTGTGTGCTCAACCAATGGGAGAAGCTACCCAACTTACTGCCATCAAAAGAGTTTTGAATGTCTTCGTCCAGGGACTAAGTTTTTAAATAACGGAACATGCACCACTAAAGGTAGGAGCGGCCTATTTACCCAGTGATTTTGTGATCTAAGAGGGCCACTGTAGACCAGCCTTTCTGTTAGGAAGTACTTTTTCTGTGAAATGTTTGGATGACAACTCAAAATACTTTAGATCTCAGTCAAAGTGATAACTAAAGAAATCGGGCTCACCTGAATCCAGAGCACACAGCTCTGAGGTCCCACTGCTGCTGTTTAGAGTGGTCCCCACTCTCACTTCTACTTGCTGGAAGGGATTATTCCCAGGGTCACCCAACTGTCTCAGAACCCAAGGAGAAAGCCTGGATAGGAGATGAGTGCAGACATGTGGTCAGGGTCCTTCTGGGCCTATGGGTCTCCAGCCCTGGTGGTTTCTTGCACTGTCCATGCCCTCTGCTCCATCCCTGTCCCTATTGCCTCTGGGCATCTGAGGGGAGCTGAGACACTCTGGCCTTGATGTGCTTCACCCTAGGCAACTTGGTGGGACAGGCCAGCTTGCCTCTCCCTGCCTGGGTGCCTAGTGGAGTGAGGAGGCTGTGACTCCAACATGCAGCACTCAGAGTGCAGTATTTAAGGTCAAGGATCTGCGTTTCTGTCTCCATGCCGCACCTCAGTTATTGACCTACTGTGTGATCTCTCTGAGTCCTAGTTCTTCCCTCTGTGAAACGTGAACATTAAAAGTTCCTAAGTCATAAGATTCTTGTGGAAATTAAATAAAACAATGCATGTCAAGTTCTTTGTCTAGCGCTTGACACACAGAAAGTGTTTATTCAATTTTAGCTACAACAGCCAAACTCAGGCTCTCTGTCTCCTGCTCTCAAGTAATCGCAGACACATCTGACTTACAAGCAAATGCATGAAGCATTCTTTTCAAAGGAGCCAAGATGCATCAGCTTGCAGTAGCCTATGGGATTTTGTGATAGTAGTTAGGATGGTGAGGCAAAAAGAGGAACAAAGCTTCCCATCGCTCCCATTTCTACTGCCTACAGATGGGAAGGAGCAAGAATGAGGTCATTTCATCAGGGCTGATCTCTTTTCTAGAGATATTAACTGCTTTAAATATGTGAGAACACATAAACCCTTCTGGGATTTTGGTAATTGTCTGACTTACTTCTAAGACTGTGGAGTGTGAGGAAGATGAATAGAGCCACTTCCAATTCCCAGCTTCAGCACACAGGCCAGTAACTTCACATCAAGATTTAGGCTCCTCCTGTGTACCAATGGAGACCAACGCGGCTTCCTCTTTACAGGGCGGGTGAGAGGACTCAGTGATCTTCTCTAGGACAGAGTAGCTGGGCCTTTGCCACATGAGCACTCATGACAGAAATGCCTGTCCTTGTTTGTTAAAATCTCTACGGTCTCCAAAGTTATTTTGAAATGAAATGTTCTGTCATTTTAAAGTCTCTTAAATTGAACAGGAAAAAGACAAATGCCTAAATATTGCTCATCCTTTTTTGTTGTTGTTGTTCTTGTTTGTTTTTCATTTTAGGAGGATTTAGTGTTACCTTAAATTATGGAAATGTAGATTCAGGGGGAATTGTTAAAGTAAAACTTGTGGGCCAAGACAAGGAAATGTTCATCTGTAAAAACAGCTGGGGCATGGTGGAAGCCAACGTGGCCTGCTTTGACCTCGGCTTTCCACAGTAAGTGCTCGGATCAGGGGATTTCTCCCAGGCTTGATGTCATTGTTCCAACTGTTGGTTTTCTGGTTCCCTCCACTTTCTGTCCCTCAGTTTCCTCCTGTGTAACCTGAGAATATTCACTCCCAATCCCCTAGCATTGTTATGAGGATTAAATGTGTGTGTTTGCTTAGGGCTTAGAACTTGGCCAAACCCAGGGTGCCCGTAAGTTTGTTCAAGTATTTGGGCTAAATCCTTGGGTGACTTTAAGGGTGTCAAATACATTCATTCCTGGCTCTCTCTACTCAGCTATAATTATATCCACTTTTCCACAACTAATGTGGCCTTTCCTCTTTTGTCCTTGATCAAGTTTGCACAGGTTTGTCTACCTGATTAGTCATCTTTAATCATTGCTGTTATCTTCGATTCTCCCCTTTCTTCTCTATTTTTGTCTGATTCCTCCAGCTGAATGCTTAACTCAGTGCTTTTCAATTTTTCTTACTTTCTCAATACAAATATGGAAGGTACCCATTTCTCTGTAGGTAACACTTTATCTGCACACTATAAACCCTCTAAGTGATATTTTACTTATTATTCTGTTTAAAATGTCTTCTACATCTCAGTGCTATTTCTTTTTGGATCCATTTGCAACTTAGAAGGTTTTTTTTTGTGCTCTCTAAATGAAGATATTAGCTTGCTGCTAGTTAACTTTTTGCCATTGATTTCCTATTTCAATGCATTGCTGTCAGAGAATTTCCCTGTATGGTGGCAAGTTTTTAAATTAGGTAGGTGTTTGCTTTGTATTGAGTGCTTTTAAAATACATCATGTGCATAGTTCTGTAATGTTAACTATTAGAATAAGTAATGTTGTTAACTTTTTTGTTCACAATCTTTTTCCATTTCTTTAATTTTTTTTGCATCTTCCTATTAAGTGTGTTTTTATGCACAACATTTTTCTAAAAATCCAATATGTCAATCATTAACTGAAAAATTTAGGCCATTTTACCTAGTGACTACTTACACAGTTGACTTCATTTTCCCTATCTTATTGTGGGCTTATTATTTACCATACTTATTCTGTGCCTTTTTTCCTCCTCTACTTTCTGTTAGAGTAATCAATTTGTAAAAGATCTTCCAGCCTCCTTCAGGCTAGTTAGTCTAAAGTGGTTATTTTAATTAATCTTATAAAACCTAGTGAAGCAGGTATACTCCCTTTTACAGTTGAAAGTACTAAGACAAAGAGATTGTAACCCAGATTTATAGAGAATTTATAGATTTATACAAAATGAGAGGAAATGACTCTAGGTCCTTACCCCTGATAGTATGACTATCTATGTAAATACTAATACTTTACCATCGTGTTTCATTATTCTGTTTGCAGAGGTGCTCTTCATACTCAAGCAAGGTTTTATTATCCTGAAGATCTCCGTATGAACTCCACAGAATGCTTGCAAGTGCACTGTCGGGGATTTGAGACCACTTTGGCTGAGTGCACTTTTTCCAAGAGAAGAGTTCTGGGTTACCAGGATTTAGCCAGTGTGCTGTGTTACACACCAGACGCAGGTTGGTGGAGCCCTTGCCTGGTATTCTCCCTTCCCATTAATTTCACACCAGGCTCCTAGTAAACAAACGATTGGTCCTCAGTTGTCGGCCTCCCTTGTTTCCTTGAACATCTGGATTCAAGTTACTATAGTGTCTCCGTTACTTTTCTCTTGTTGCTGAGATAAAATACCAACACCCAAAACTAAGGAAGGAAAGGTTTGTTTAGCTCACAGTTTGTGGAGGTTTCAGTCCATACTCGGCTGGTTCCAAGCAGAGTGGCACATGGCAGAAGGCAACAGTTCATGGTGGCAGAAAACAGCAAAAGCACCAAGAGCAAAAGGGAGGAGTGGCAGAGACCAAGGCTCTTTCCCTCCCTTATATTGTATGCAAACTACCCACCCCTGGGTGGCTGTAGCACTCACATCCATAATTCCAACATTGGACCATGAATCAGTCATAAACTAGAAGCCCACAACATGACTGCATGAGGCTTTCGGGAGACATCCAGACACAAACCATAACACATAGCAAACATCTATCAATCAAGCATTAGAGGAAACTTCAACATCTGCTTTGAGAGTTCCAGTCTCCATACATTCCTTTACAATGTTTGGTTGGCCAGACTAGTCCTTCAGTTTCCCAGCAGTCTTTGTCACTCTGCCGCTCCATCTCAACATTGGAATATTCCAGCCATATGTACGATGTTAAAACCAAAGCAATGATCCCTTTCTCAGTGCTTAAAACAAATAGGGCCATAAAGATGTTCATGTCACTCCACACCTGTTCTGGGAGTGGGAGGTTGGTGGAATGGCGTGAGAGGAACGGGTGCAAGCCAGAGCAAGCCTGTGGCAGTGAATGCTCCTGGCTTCTGGACCCCACCCCAGGGGCTACAGAAGTCTGCCATCGGTCCTGGTTCTCAGCATGAAGGGGGCTCCCGAATTAGCCAGCTTGCCCATTCTTCCTCCTCGTTAGTCACAGATTCCGCTGGTACTACCGAGGTACTTTGTATCACTTCACTGGGATCTGACTTTATCTTAATGACCCCATTATCCTAAAAATGTGATAAGGAGGTGATTCCATAAGCCCATTGCTAAATTCCACAAAAATAACTCTTGTTTTACAGATCTCCTGCCAAGGGAGCCCTTTCAGTGTGTGAATGGGAAGCACATTCCTCCAGAGAGAGCCTGCGACGGGGTCAATGACTGCGGGGATCAAAGTGATGAGCTGTGCTGTAAAGGTAGATATTCACTGAATTTTAAATCCCCAAATACATGCTTCTAGCTCAGACTGAGAGCATCTTACTGTTGAATTGAAGGTCCCACTGCATTCCCATTTAAGAACTGGAAGAACCCTCTCTGCTTGTGTTTGCCCAGGGTGCCAACACGGAAGCTTCCTCTGTAAGTCGGGTGTCTGCATTCCAAACCAGCACAAATGCAATGGCGAGGTAGACTGCATCACAGGCGAAGATGAAGTTGGTTGTGAAGGTAATCGAAAGCTTTAGCTCGGCACAGTGATGCAGACCTGTAATCCCAGCACTCCAGGAGGGAGGCGGTGGCAGAAGACTACAAGTTTGAGCCCAGCCTCAGTACATGAGTGACTTAGAGACCCTGTCTCAAAATAAGAAAAAAAAAAGGCTGAGGATGTTGCTCGGTGCAAAGGCCCTGAGTTCAATCCCCAATACTGACAAAAAAAATTTTTTTATTTAAAAAACAATAAAAGAAAGAAAGAAAAAGAAAAGGAAAGTTTCCAGATGACTATTTTCATTACTGGAGCCAGGGATTCTGAAATGTTTCTTAGGTACATTGTAAACTTAATTGATCATAGCTGAGTGTAGCAGTAGGAATACTAATGAGTGGACACTTTAAAAACTATGGGCTTTTTACCTCCTGTTTTAGTTTGTTTGTTTCTTGAGACAGAGTCTCACTATGTAGTTCAGCCTGGCCTGGAACCCACTATGTTTCCCAGGTTGAGCTCAAACTCAGTGATCCTCCTGCTTCAGCCTCCTTTGTGCTGGGATTACGGGTATGCACCACCACACCTGGCTTCTCACATCCTTATATTTTAACCTACTAAATATTTACTTACTACCTCTGGCTACTTTATTTTTAAATTTTCTCAGACACACCAACATAGCAAACAGAACAGCACCTTATGTGCCCACCTTCCTGATGCCGTGGTTACCAACACTGATAACTCTGTTCAGGACTGTCGCAGCTTGTTTGTTTGTGGGAGTATTTTAAGGTAATTTTCAGAAAACGTGACCCTTCACCTATGTGCATCTCTAATGCCAAGAACACTGTGTATGTCACGTCATTCTCTCACCCGTATACCAAAAATAATAATGATTCTCTAGCAACCTTTAATAACCATCTTGTTCAAATTTCTCTACTTCAAAAATATCTTTTTCAAGTTAATACACTTAAATCAGGATTCAAAAGAACCTGAATGCTGCATTTGGCTAAGTTCTTTTATTCTTTGAGTCACATTCCCATCTCAAAATACCATTTTTTTAAGAGATGGGCACACAAGCTTTTAAAACACCTTTTTTTTACTAGTGTGTATCAATTTTGCAAAATATTGGGCTTTATTGTTGTTTTCCATCTCCCACATAACATATCTTGGTCATATCCATCGGTCGTAGCCATCCCGTTGCGTCCCTGACACCGCATTATGGCTTGTATCTAGATGTCCCCCAAAGCCTCATGGGTCATAGGTGGGGAGTTTGGAAGGTGGCTGGATTAGGGTGTGTGATGCTGGGGTTGTGTGTGATGCTAAGATGAAGGGCTCCCACCTTGGGTGTGGATGAGTTCACTCAAAAGGCAGGTAGCTTGGGTCGAATACAAAGGGACAGAAACAAGCTGCTTCGCTGCTTTGCTGTCTTCTGCCTGCCAAGAACTGTTTCTCCTCCACGATGCCCCTCTGCCAGGCCACCCTGCCTTGGAGCCAGCCTATTATGGACTGAAACCTCCACAAACTGTGAGCCAAAACAAGCCTTTTCTTCTTTATCTTTGTGCATTGGGTATTTTGTCTCAGCAACAAGACAAGTAACTAAGACCAGCCACCACTCCCTATTTCCTTCTTCTTGTCTAATAATAGTCTCCATACAGTCTTCACATAGTCTTTCATATCATCTTTGGCTTTTAGGGCATTTTTGGGTTTGCTTTTTTTTTCTTTTTAGGCTACATTTTAGGGAAGATATGTAACACTTGTCTTTCTGGTTCTGGTTTACTTTGCTTATCATGACAAACTCCAGTTTCTTCATTCTCCTGCATATATGCATTCATTGTTTTCTGTATTCTTGAGGATAACCACTTTAACTAAATTGAGATGGAATCTCATTGTAGCCTAGATTTGCCTTTCCCCAATGGCTAAAGATGTTGAACATTTTTTTCATATACTTCTTGGTCATTTGTACTTCTTTTGAGAAGTATCTGTTCAATTAATTTTCTCACTTACTGATTGGGTTATTGGGAGTTTTATAAGTTAAGTGGATTTATTTTTGGTTCTTAATATATTGTAAATATCAGCCCTCCACCAGAAGAGTAGCTGGCAAAATTTTTCTTCCATTCTGTAGGCTGTCTTTTCACTCTGTTGGTTGTTTTCTATGCAGAAGCTTTTTACTTTGGTGTAGTCTCATTTGTTGATTTTGCTATGATTTCCTGTGCTTTCGGAGTACTATTCAAGAAGACTTCTGCTATGATTTCAAATGTTTCCCCTATGTTTTTTTCCTAGCAGTTTCAAGAGTCTTCTACCTAGGTCTTTGATCCACTTTGAATTCATTGAATTTTAATCTTATACAAGCAGATATCCAGTTTTCCCAGCCCCATTTGTTAAAGAGCCTGTCTTTTCTCCAAAATATATTTTCGACCTCCTTCTCAAGAATCAGGTGGTTGTACTTGCGTGGGTGTGTTTCTGTGTCCTCTGCTTTATTCTATTGGTCTATGTGTGTGATATCTTGCCAGCACCATGGTGCTTTTGTTACTACAGATTTGTAATATATTCTGAATCAAGGTATTGTGATTCCTCCAGCATTACTCTTTTTGTCTAGAATTGCTTTGGCCTTTCTAGGTCTTTTGTGTTTCCATATGAATTTTAGATTTTTTTAAAAGTTCTATGAAGAATGTTACTGGTATTTTCATAGGGATTGCACTGAATTTGTAGATCATTTGGTAATGTGGTTACTTTAACAATATTAATTCTGTTAATTCGTGAATATGGAAGGTTTTTCTATCTTGTAGTACTTTCTCCAATTCCTTCAGTATTTCATAGTTTTCATTGTAGAAGTCCTTCACTTCCTCCATTATATTGGTTTGTAGGTAAGTAGGTAGGTATTTATTTATAATTAAAGCTATTTTGAATATAATTGTTTTCCTGATTTCTTTCTCAGGTACTACATTATTTATGTATAGAAAACCTATTAATATTTTAGTGTTGATTTTGTATCCTGCTACTCTCCTGAATTTGTTCATCAGCTGTAAAAGTCATTTAGTAGAGTCTTTAAGGTTTTTATTTTTTTAATCAGAAATTGAATTCAGAACCTTGTGCTTGCTGGGCAGGTACTGTGCTGCTGAGCAATATTCCTGGCCTATGGTCTTATAAATGTAAGATCAATTATCTGCAAAGGATATTTTGACTTCTTCTTTTACTGTTTGTATTTCTTTTATTTCTTTCTTTTGCCAAAATGCTCTGGTTAAAAATTCATGTGGTATATTGAATAGGAATGGTGACAGTATACATTCTCATCTCATTTGTGATTTTAGAGGAAATAGTTTCAGTTTTTCCCTGTTCAGTATGATGTCAGCAAGGCAGCTGTTTAATTTTAGGTCTTGAAATATATCATATACCATTCCATGCCTTTCTGGCCTTTTTTTTTTTTTCTTTAGCAAATCTAACCCATTAGAAATATTCAGTCCTGAGGATTTTTTTTTTTTTCTTTCTGAGACAGGGTTTCACTGTGCAGTTCAGGATGGCCT